AAAATATAGGACTAGTGTTATTTTAATGTGTTTTTAGAAAAGTCCATCATGTTGTCACTTTCAGAAAATTTAAATGAGGGAAGTATGTATGTCTTTTCCTCACCCTTGAAGCGCTGTCTGTGGTGCTGAATGAAACTTTGTGCTTTTTTGTACTTTAACACAAAATCAAAGTCCAAACTTGCAGGAAAAATCGGTTTCTTTTGTGAATTAAAATTGGCAACAAAACGATTACGGTGGTCGTTGTGGCTGTAACTGTGGCATTTTATACTAGCTTATAACATGTTTATTTGTAATATCTCAAATTAACTCACAGCGTCGCTGCTCACTAGCAGATGTGAAGAGGTTCAATTCCCCACCCACTACCAACGAAGATATTAGTCTAAAACTAGAGCTACCATTGTTGTAGTCGCGGTATACCCTGTTTTGTTATTACTTTGTGTAATATTCCCAGCGGAAGGGGCATTTTTGTATTCGTGTCCTTTTTGGGTGAAAAAATGGCCCTAAGAAGACAAGCCTCGCTCTGTTTTGTGTTCGGCTTTGCTCTGTTTTTCGAGATAACCGCTGCGGACCTCAGCTATTCTGCACCGGAGGAGATGAGACCGGGATCCATTGTTGGGAATATTGCCAAGGATCTCGGCCTGGAAGTAGCAAAATTGTTCACTCGTAAAGCCCGGATTGATACAGAGGAAAACTACCAGCATTACTGCGACATTGACCTCAAGACTGGAAATTTTGTCATCAGGGAGAAGATTGACAGGGAGGAGCTGTGCGGGGAGAGGCTTTCGTGCATGCTTAAATTTGAATTAGTCGTGGAGAACCCTTTGGAGCTGCACCGTATTTCACTGCTTATTCAGGATGTAAACGACAATTCACCAGTTTTCCCCAAAGATACAGTTAAGTTGGAAATAAGAGAATCAGCAGATAAAGGAGCTCGATACCGCGTCAATGAAGCACATGATGTAGATATTGGGCAGAACGCAGTCAAAGAATACAGTTTACAAAAGAATGACCATTTTGTTTTAT